GGGTGGGGGTTTTTCATCAAGCCTCAGTTGGGGATGGCAGTGGCCTTGCTCGCCACCTTTGTCGGCGACCAGAACTCTGACACGTGGGGCGATTGCTCCAATGAGGAGTCGAAGTGGGCGCTTGGCTGGGCGGCTAAGCTCCAGCCGTTCTTGCCAAGCCATCGGGGCTCGCGACAGGCCAGAGGGCTGGCACCTACAAGGACGCCGGTGATGCTATTCGGGAGTATGGCTCCTATCTGTTCGGAGGAGGAGCCGTCACCCTCAGTTCACGGTGATGTGCCCGGAGCGACCTTGAACCGGGTGATCGAGCTACCAGACCGGGCAGTATGTTCGTTCGGGTCAGTGGGTTGGCGTGTCGGAGGTTGAGCCCTGGTGACTGACATTCACAGCACTCCCACTTGCTGCCTGAACTTCACCTACCCCGCATCAGACAGACGACAATTAAACGGTGCGCAGAAGCAGCACTCAAGCCGAGCCCAGGGAAGCCTCTTCTAGAGTCTTGAATCATTCCTCGCACATCTTGCCAAACGGCAAACTCCTGTGTTTCTTCCATACGTCTTTTTTGGCAAGGTCCCCATACAGTCCTTGTCAGGCTTTGTATATTAGAGAAACTTGAAAAGGAGCAAAGGGAGAGGCTTCTCGAATTTTAATTGAGGGTACGACGGACTGCGCTCGGCTTTGGAACGAAAAGCGCGCATAGAGACACCTCTTGAATTCATCGACTGGCCTCCGGCTGGAAGGGATGGACTTACTTTTGGGTTTCGGGTTCGGGGGAAATTTTGAAGCGAGGTTCAGCGGATTTTAATGAAGCATCGAGACACACGGAAGTGCCGCTGGGAGGCTCGTTGGGAAGGGGACGACCATGCTTTTGACGACTGTTGCAGCATGTCGCTTCCGTAGAGAAAAGACAAAGATGGTTTTCGGATGGAGGAGTTTAGGGTCATGAAAGCTTCAGAAATAAATATTTTTGAAGGTTTGGGTTGTAGGAATACGTGGAGAAAGCTTTCGTCCCTAAATTCCTCGCTGTGTAACGGACTTGTTGGCGTCTACGTACAGCAAGAGGGCCAAACCAACTAATGTCACTGCCTACAAAACCCTAGCCTACGCTGGCCACTGTGCAACCTAGCGCTGGTTCAGAGGAGCAGTTCCGGCAGCGTGACCTTCCATGGAACACGGCCCTGCTGCAGAAACGGTCTGGACAACTTGAGCAGTTGACTGCTGTTTGTCGAATGTTCAAGATAGGTTTTCAGGCCAAGCTTCTGGGCGAGCAGACCCGGAGTCGGCGGAGCTTGAGTACCTGGCGGGGCTACGAACGCCGACAGAGGTCGGAGGAGGACAGGGGCCAGCTCGCAAACAACGGGTCATCATGGTCGAAGTCAGCAGTGGCAGTGGAGACATGCCTCGGCGCACAATCAGAGTCCCCTTGGACGACAACGACGTGGCCAGGGTGGGGCTCAAGCTGTGGCAGACTGAGGAAGATCAGGATGGAGTGGCTACGCAGCAGCTTCCCGGCGCTGGTCCTCGCGGCCCCACTGCCATGGACACGCAGCTCGACAAGGGTGACGACTCGGGTGGCCTTTCTGAGGAGGAACTGGCTGGAATGGTCAGTGCAGCCATGACTGGAGGGTACACTGATGATGCCATACGACTGGAATGGGGTGAAGGCGTCTTGCGTATGGTGCAAACCCAGCGGGCGCTACTCCTGGACTCGCAGTCACAATCTCAACAGGGGACCGAAGCCGCCAATGGGGCCGATGAGGGTGAACCACGATGCACTGTGGGTCGAAGGTCGACCGAGGGTGACGAATGAGAGGGCTGATTTTTCTGGTTGCTCGGGGGCGGCTGGTAAGGGCTGCGACTGGGCTGCCTAAGCTCCTGATCCTCGGTGGATCTTTCGTCTGGGGACAAGTCTTGCAGTCGGAAAAACGAGTTCAAAAAAAAACCTAAAGCCCTAAACCCTAAACGGCCCCAAACCCTAAACCCCTAGAGCCCTAAAGCCGTAAGCCCTAAAGCCGTAAACCCCAAAGCCCTAAACCCCTAAAGCCCTTAACCCCTGACCCCTAAACCCCAAAGCCCTAAAGCCCTAAACCCTTAAACCGCTAAACCCTAAACCCCTAAAGCCCTAAACCCTAAACCCCTAAAGCCCTAAAGCCGTAAACCCTAAACCCCTAAACCCCTAAACCCCTAAAGCCCGAAACCCCTAAACCCTAAAACCCTAAACCCTAAACCCTAAACCCTAAACCCTAAACCCTATCTGAAGGGCTTGCGATGGGCGGTGTGGATCCTCGGAAGTCTCGGGGTTACTTTGGAAGAGTTCCCTGGTCTTGGGGATCCTCATTTTCCTTGGAAAACCTGAAGACCCCCAACCCCCAAATGAGGACCCTGCACCCCAAAATGGGGGACCCTAAAGCTCCCTCAACCCTAAATTGGGACCCTAAACCCCAAAATGGGGACCCCAAACCCCAAAATGGGGACCCTACACCCCAACATGGGGACCCTAAAGCTCCCTAAACCCTAAATTGGGACCCTAAACCCCAAAATGAAGACATGCCGCCCAACTTTCCTGTAAAGGTTCTTTCGGCTTTTCAGGGTTTGGGGGTACAAAAAAGGGAGTATCTCGCTGTTCAAGACCTATATAAATGGCAGCAGGTGTCTTTTCAGGAAGGCAGCTGGATCGTCTGATAAGTTTGGGGTCTATTTCAGGGATCCTTGTAGTATTGAAAGGATACTGACAGGAAGAATGCTACGATCTGGGTGTCCATGCAGAGATCCTCGTAGTGATATTAGGACCTTGACATTTCTTCTTTAGACCCGGGGGTTGGGATTTGGGAAACTCCCGTGGTTTGCCGCGTTTTGCTCTAGCTTTTCAACCCAAGACTCTTGACACGGTTTAGGATCTAGGGTTTAAGGCATGAGTTGACTAGGGTTGAAACCCTAGACGCCCCTAAACCCTAAATCTGTCCCCCCTACCCTAAACCTGAATCGCTGCAGAGTTTAGGGGTTAGGCCCCTGCCGACCAGGAGAGGAAGAAGGTCGAGAGCCATCCAGACTACAGAGCGCTTGCTCCCTAGAGTTTGTCTTAAATGTTTTTTTTTTCAAAGGGTTGCGTTAAGAGCTTAGATTGGCTTGATAGAGGGGCCTGAAGGGGTCTAGAGGGATTCAATGCAGGGGTTGTGACAGGGTTTAGTATAGGGTTCTTAGTAATTGAGAGGAATAATTAGAGCTTTTGTGTAGCATTCTAGCATAGTTAGATGGGGAGTACAGAGGCAGATTATTACTCAGTATCCCGACCTCTATAGAGAAACTCCGACCAAGAAAGAAGCCAGAAGGTGCGTACCATCGTCGGTGAAGCCTAAATCTTAAACCACAAATCCCCACTTCAACTGTTTACGGTTTAGGGTTAAGCCCCAGACCCAACATCATCTCGCTGCAATTTCCAGAGCAATCTTCGACGGCGTTGTTTTACAATCTTGAAGTGCAGTTTGTTCGCGTCAGCGCGAGGGTCTGGCAACACGGACCATGAGGATGACCTGTCTCTGTGGTTAGGGCTTAGGGTTCCGAATCGTAATATCCTCGAAACTCGTACTCCCCCAAACCCCTTGAGGCAAAACCACAATGCTCTGAACTTGTAAGCCCTGGAAAAGGCCTCATGAAGCCTTACAACATCCTCTAACACGGGGCTAGGGCCAGGATTTCCCTCCCTGAACATCCTCAAGAGCCTATTTGCACACCCTAGACTCTAGACTCTAAGCCTTTACCTCTAACAACCCCAAGCCCTAAATTCTAAACGCTTAAACCCTAAAGCCCCCAAAACCCGTTGACACGATGTCACAAGATCCCTAAACCCTAAACCCTAAACCCTACACCCTACACCGAGGTTCTTTGAGCGGGCCACCCTTCTGGTGGAGAGGGTCCTCGGCCAGGACCCACTGGGACTGTAACCGGGTGTGCTGTAGAGACGTGTACAAGGATCTAAGTGAACCCTAAGCCCTAAACCCAAAAGGGTTTGCTGTTTTTTAGGGTCCACTCTACAGACTGTTTAGAGGCCAAAAGCAAAACTAGCCATCACACATGTCCCCCAACCCAAAAGCACTTCCATCCCAAACAAAAAGCCCTTCCATCCCAAACCTGTTAGGCTGTCAAGCTCGCCTTTCGGGCTTCAAGAGGTTTGGCGGTCTCTGCCAGATTAACTACCAGAAAGCTTTTGCGGCCATACTACTGAACAACTACGGTATCATGTCCCAGTGTTCCGATGACAGCTTGTTATACAAAATGTTCTCCCAGGCCCTGCTCTAATTATTAAGCCCCCTCCTCTTTTTGACCGGCGGCTCCATGGTTTATCTTCCAGGGTGCCAAATAGAACGATCATTGACGACGGCCTCGTTCTGACAAACCCTCAGCGCGAACCTTACTTGCAAGATTCCTAGGACTTAGTAAGCAAGGCTCCTAAACCCTAAACCTTACAAACCTTAAACCCTGAACCCAAAACCCCAAACCCCAAACCTTACAAGCCTTAAAACCCAACAAACAAAGCCCTTAGATCCCAGACCCAGACCCTACAAGCCCTCAGCCCATCAACTCTACCTTTACCCTATCTTAGAATGCCAATCGAGCTAGAATCTAAAGGAAAGTACTTTAAGATACTATATTATACTCTGTATACGATGATATGATATTAAAGGAAATTAGAATGTGCCAGAATCGGCTCTGACACATATGTGTGTATATATATATATATACATATATATATATATACATTTATTTATTTATTTACATTTATTTTACATATACACCTACTACAATGGCTCAATGGCCTATTGTTTGATCAAATATGACCTAGCACAATAAGCCAGGAGACCTGGGATTTGGCTCTTGACTTCAAAAACACCTCGGCCGAGGGTGTGGAGGGCGAGGGTGGAGGTGCCTAAAGGGCTTTGGTGTTTGGGTCTAGGGTTTACGGGGAATGTTCTACACGTGTTGTTCACCTATGGCTCGTGTCTTGTGAGCGTTTTCGAGACTTTGTCCGGGACCTGTATGTGAGGTTTCCCCAGAATTAAGTCTTCGGTTTTGTGGATCTGCATTAGCGTCCCTCATTTTTCTGAAAGTCGCATGCTGTAGCAGTAGATTGCTTAGAGTGGCATGAGCAGCAACAGTACTAGCAGCAGCAGCAGCATCGTAATGGCAGGAGAGTGGTGGTGGTTGCCGTAGCAGTACTGAGTAGTTGTAGCTGCTGGCAGTTGCAGTTTACCATACACCCTAAACCCTAAACCAAGTTTACCAAGTCTCAAAGCCAGCTTCCAGGCGCAGATGCCTTGAAGCACGTGGACGACTATGTGGAGGCAGCTGGCAGCTGGTAGTTTCTTCATTCTCGTCACCATCATCACCACCATCATCATCGTCATCGTCATCACGAGTGTTTCGTGGTTCTCTCTCTCTCTTTGTGTATATATATATATATATACACATATATATATATATATATGTGAATCATATATCTTGTATCATATGCAATCATATTCACATGTCAACGAAATGATACAGCCAGCGTAAATGGTTGTTACATTCCGGCTTTGCCAAAATCCGTTCTTCAGCAGCGCTTGCGAGTGGTACTCTGGAAGAGGCTTCCCCTGAACTGTTCTCAGCCACCCGAAAATTAAACAAATCCTGAAATCCCAAAGCCCTAAGTCTTGAAACGCATTACGGCCCCCGTCCAGAATAGTAGGACTTTTACTATCAGGACTCCTTAAAGAAGCACCCCGAATCTTTCGAACCACCTCCACTACAATGCCCCAATCCAGACGCCGCTAAACCATGTCGCTGTAAGACCAAATGCAATCGTTGTGAATCGCAGTCTTTCCAGCCCCAAGCCCCTAAACCCTAAACCCTAAAACCCTAAGCCCCAAACCCTCAAACCCTAAACCCTAAAACCCTCAGCCCTAACCTTCCCTAAGCCCCAAACCTTACACCCGAAGTCCTAAGCCCTACGACCCTGAACCCCCTACTGCTGTAACTATGGCGATGGTCAACATATTATAGTTGCCTTGTGGAGCTTTTGAGGGGTTTTAAAGTTTTGTGAGGTTTCGGGTTTTGGGGTTTTAAGTTTTAAGATGTCTGAGGTTTAGGGTTTTAGGCTTTTTTTGGTGTCTAGGGTTTTGGGTTTGAGAGGACAAGTGGTCGCGCGGTCGTCCCGTGACAGACCTTCGCTTTTCACCGCACAACAAGGACACGGTTTAGGGTTTAGGGTTCTGAGCATTGCTGGGCAGAGGGGTTTAGGGTTTAGGGTTGAGGGTTCTTCAAGGGATCTGCGAGGGTACTATCAGGGTGCTTTAGGGGTTTCGGGTTTCGGGTTCAGGTGTAGAGAGGGGTGTAGGTTTCTGGATTTAGTGTTTAGGGTTTAAGGTACAGGGTTTAAGAGTTTAGGTTTGGGGATTTAGGCTTCGGGGTGTAGGGTTTAGGCTTGAGAATTTATTTAGGGCCGTTTAGGGTTTAGGGTTGTGGGATTTCCCATTGTGTTTTTCCGTGTGGGTTTTTTCGGGTTCAAGCAGTGTCATCAAGCTTATGATATGTTCAGCTCAGCTACCTCGCTGGAGGGGCTGAGTGACTGTTTGTAAATGGGGATGTGAATACACTAACTGGTTATGACAATACAAGACCCTGAATCATTACTAGTATGATTCCTCAGGGTTCCGTATTGTAACTATACTGCACGGTATCCCCAAACCTTTATCTAGTTATTCTGGACCCTCTATTGCATATTAAGTCTACTTGGAGCTGACGGAGTCTCCTGATCGTCTGAGTGTGCGTCAGTAGTGAAATCGCCCGCATGGCGCATGGTTTCAGCTCTGAGTCGGATCCCATGTAAACCCGAAAATTGAAACCCACCAACAAAGGTCCTGAACCCAATCCTAAACCCTAAACCCTAAACCCTAAACCCTAAACCCTAAACCCTAAACCCTAAACCCTAAACCCTAAACTAAACCCCGCCAAAACTCAACAGGAGATCTTCATCGCCGCCTATCACCAGAAATCGAACCCCGAACTATCGGATCCAGGAGAGGATCCGGTGTGTTTTAGCGGTCCTAGAGGGGACTTCTGGGGTTTTACATGGTTTCAACGAGGTTTGCAGGATTTCGCTGAGGGCATGGGGTATACATATGGTTGAGAGGTGTGGGTTGTTCCAAACCACGCCTCAGACCATGCAGAAACTACGTCGCACCGACTCCCGCACCCTAAACCAATCTTGAAGCTTTAAGGAACAGCGTCCAGGTTTAGGTATTGGGATGCAGGGTTTAGGGGTTTGTCTTGGGTTGTTGCGGCTCAGGTCTAAGGGTTTGTGTGGGTTTCGGATTCGCCTGGGAGCGTCGGCGGATCACACGGACTTAGGGTCAGGGGGCCTTAGAAATTAGAATAGGGTTTTGGGGGGTATAGTATACTATAGTTATAATAATAAGGAACCCCCCAAAATGGTATAGGTAAGAATTTA